TTTGTGTGTCAGTATCTCTGAAATATTGATCCTGCCTTCAGGTGTGGAATGCTTTCTGTCTCTGGTGCATGTTTTCACAGCTCTGTATTTGCAACTACATCGTGTTAGACATCTGGTATCACAGCTATCAACCTGCGGTAACAATAACTCATCTGCCATTTGTTTCCTTTTGCAGAAAAGATTAAACTGCATGAAGTTATCATTTATTTCAGGATTATCTTGTCTTATCCTCTCTTTCTCCAGATCATTCTTTAAGAACAGAGTGACCATAAGCAAACTCCTTTGTCTAGACAACTTATGTTTCATATGTGTGTGTGTGTGTGATATACCACACATCTATGAACATGTATCACTCATTTAACAGCAGCTGGGTATTTCTGTTTTCCTGTTACGCAGCTGACTTACCATTCTGGTACATTTCCATTATTTCCAAAATACGAATGTATTCCTCAAACAGGAAACTGCAGGAAGAGTTAGAGATCTGTTATTATTTACGACTGAGGATTTTCAGGGTGGTAGGATGTGTCCCTGCAGTGTGAACACTGACAGCTTGACTCTGTGAATCCTGGCATAGAGCACAAACACGTCCTAGAAATACAAGGAAAGTCAGGCCGAGTGTGCAGGGACCACCCCTCTCTTTATTCTGATGTATCTTATCTCTTTTAAGATTAACACCACTTGCTGGGCACAAGCCATTGTTCTGACATATTTATCTTTCCTGGCCCTATTATCTCCTCAGTCTTTTCCAGCTTTGCCCACTTCTGTAGGTTTTCCTCTCTGGTCCTAGTAGACATCGAGCTGATTTGCATGGTGGGTCAGACCTTTGCCAGAAGTGTTTCTTGACAGTTCAGTACAGTCAAGACAACTGCGTTTCTCAAAATAACTTTATTCATGCAACAATTCTACATTGTTCACATTGCCGGTGAACGTGAATTGTAAACTGTTTGGGGTAGCTAAAATAGTCCATTTATCATGCTAAGGCAAATAGTTCACCAAAAGAAGTGCCTAAAAGAGCATGTAATTCCAAAAGATAATTTAATACAAGTCAGAACCCGTAGATGTTTGCAAAAGTGAGATAACAGACTAAACGAGAGGAATTTTTTCTGATAACTCAGCCCAGCAGTAGTTCTTTATTATTATATTTATATTATGGCTAACCTGGAGATTGCCTGCTGTGTGTGAAATGTTATTTGCTTATTGCAGAATGTACTGTGAGAATTCAGATCTGTCATTCCTACTTTAACATACATCTGCGTGTAATAGACACCTCTGTGGGACTTAACTGAAGCTTATCCACTCAGTGGTTACTGGATGGCTTCCTTTGGCCTCCACTGAAGAATGGACACTGTTGCTGGGCCAGGGAGTGCTGGCAGAGTGAGTGGGAGAAGCAGAAAAATCATTGCTCATGTCATGCTTAATGGCCTGGCAGAAAGCAGGAGTATGTGGCCTAGGTAGCAGCCAGGCCAAGAGGAAAATGATGGAAGCTGAGCAGAGCTGGACAATGAGAAGCTGGGAAGGCTTTTGCAGGCCTAGATGTGCTGAGATAAAACCCACTGATGGGGAGGGATGAGCACTCTGCTCCCACACCTTTAACCCTGGTGGAAGCTGTGTGAAGGAGATTGAGTAGGTGTGGTGGGACCAGACCCTCAGTGAGGATTTGTAGGAGAGTCATCTCTAATCTCTGGCTGAAATCATCTTTCAGAGGGAAACACAGTACCTCAAGCTCATGGTCTGTGAGGACAGAGTTATATAAAAAGTCAGATTTTCTCCACAGCTGCTGAAAATCCTTTCTATATATGCCAACTGAAAATCCCTACAAGAGTGGGGGAATGAGATCAGTTGCCTCTGCAGCTCCCTACCTCTTGAGAGAGTGCCACAGCCCCTGGGCAAGCTACATACATCCTCCTTGGAGCAGAAACCAAGGCTCAAAGCTCCAATGCCCAGCCATCAGAAGATTTACATCTTCTTCATCTTCTCTTTTTCTTAATTAAATATTTTATCCCTTTTTTTCCTTTATTTTTTTTTCTTTTTCCCCCTCCATCCTGTAGTGGCATAGCTTCAGCAGGAGCAGATCAGGCTCTTGCCCCCACAGGCCACAAGCAATGAGCCTGATTTTTCAAGCATCCCTCCAGGCAGTGGGAGATACCAGACTGAATCCCTCCAAGTTGAGGAGGGAATTGAGCCCACAACTCCCCTTCCAGCTGCTTGACTAGAAACCAGAGCTGTTGGTGATCTTGCAAGGATGTTACAGGCTTAAATCTGAATGCATGGCCATCAGATTAGATGGCAGTGTTCAGGGTGGATCCAAAGTGTACAAAGCCACCTCTGCTCTTCTTTACTTTAGTGTTTCCTCTAGGTGAGCCTATACATCTCACTGCTGTGTGTGCTGCCTGGTTTGCATCCACTTCTGAGGCTCTCAGTTCTCTCCATAAGTGTTTTCCCCACAGGGTCACAGATTTGAAGCAAGTGACCAAACGGCTTAAAGCATGTCACCACAGTGCCTCCTGTTTAGGTGCCCAAATCCTCTGTTGGATCTTGCTCGGGACTTGTCTGAGCAGCATGCCTGCCTTTCTGCACTTTCCAACAAATCTGTGTGAGAACCATTTTCAAGAAAAGACAAGAAGTTCAACCAGAACCAGAAGCAGCACTGTCAAAGTTTTCTTTCACTTTTCTCATTAGAAAATTCTACTATGGCTGTTTCTTTAGTGTCCAGGTTACCCAATAAGTGCTGCATTTCAAATGTCTCTGGAACAGCAGCAGCAGTAACATTTTTTCCATCACTCAAGGTCCTTTGTTGTAAAGTTGTCCCAGGATCTGTCACAGGAGGTGGACCGTCAGCATTTGGCATTGTACTGGGACTATGGAAGCTCGGTAAACTCCATCGTTGGAGGTTTCCCTCATGATCTGTTACGAAACCGGCTATGTTACTACTATGGGGCTCATGTTTGGACTCCCCTATCATGCTGGGAAGTGACTGATGCACGTCAGAGTCTGGGAGGTATGTAGTCATTTCTGGGGGTAAGAAAGGAAGGTCCAGAAGAGTCATGTCTGCCTCAGTTAGGCTCCTTTGGAGCTTCTCTTCTGGCATGCCTGTGGTGCTCTCTGTTTGCAGAGCTGGTTTCCCCAGCACATCAGGTGCTTTCTCCTCAACTTCAGAGATGATGACCTCGGGAACTGGCTTGCTTGTCTCAGATGAGGTGTCACTGTCATTGTACTGCGTCTCATTCCTCGAGGTTTCAGTTATAGGGCCTAGATCTCTGCTGCTGTGGAGTCTGTTACTTCTTTCAACTCCTTCATGTTTCTTCTTGAAGCTTGAGGTAGAATGTCTCCCCCTTGTGTGCATTTCTTGCAGCCTTCTGATGTGCCCCTTTTCATCCGCTGGGAAAAACACCGAATTCTCACTCGTCTGCCGATTGTAGCGCCGGTGAGCAGGGGATGAAGGACTCTCATGGACGCTGAGAAACCTCTTGACTCTTCTCAGCACTGAATGCTGTCTTCGGTGTTTCTCCTCTTCCCAGGGCCACTCTTCCCCATAGAGGAATTCGGTATCAGCCAGCCTGCCAAATAAACCAGGTGGTAGGTGTTATTTACATGGAGGAAGTATTGCAGTTTGCATGCACTGCAACACTTCTGCATGTATCCCACTATCTTGGCAGGAAGAAAGCAATGAGGGAGGAGTTAGGAACCAAATCCCTCATGTGTCCCTCAGGAAGGGCATGAAAAGGAAAATTTGGGTCAGAAGCCAGGGCAGCCCAGCGAGGCTGCTCCACTCAATACTTGGCAGCAGCTCCCTGCAGCACCTCCACATTGTTGGCTTGCTTTTGGGATTAGGGTAAGGGAGTAAAGAAACCTGCACAGTGCTGTAGGCCTTCAGGCAAATGAGAACTTCAGGTTAATGAGGATAACTTCTGGTTAATGAGTTCAACTATTGTTTCATCTGCCAGGCCATTCACTACACAGTAGAGACCTCGTCCATCCCAGAAGACAAGTCAAATTAGCCTGGTTATCTGTCCTAAGGGCAAGGATTGCAAAAGGACTCAGGCCAAACCCGACGCAAGGAGCTCAGGGAGGAAACACTAACCCAGAAGGACAGAGGAAGTTTCACTCTGCATTTGTGAAGATGTTAGTTTAAGGGACTGGAGAAGAACTTGGATTTGGGCTCAAGATTTATATATATTTGCTTTCGATTTGGATGACCCATCACACCTTGTTTTTGGAGCTGAATGCAGAAATATTTCAGAGGGGAAAACTCTTAATAAGAAAAGCTGTTTGCGTTTCATTGGAGCTAACATAAAACTATTCTTCATCTACTATCCCTCATTTTTGTGGAGTACTTATTAAAAAAAATGTTCTCAGACTTAATAATGTTTCTTATATTCTTCATTATTTTTCTTGTGGTAATTACAGTAAAATAAATTATATTCTATGGATTTTTCTTCTTCTCTTTTGGCTATAAAATAGTTTTTCCAGAATGAAAGAATTTCTGAAAAGGCTGTGTGTGATAAAACAAACTGATATAAAGCTTTGTTCTTTGTATTACAAGGCAAGCAAAAATGGAAAAATAAGAGGAATAAAAATGAGAAAACATCAATTTCCTTTCCAAGACCAAATGAAGCAAAACAAACTAAAGCAAAACAAATCCACTTTTTTTTTCTTTGTTTTGTTTTGATGAGAGCTGGAAATTTTTGAAAAAGTTGAAAACTTTTTGAGATATACTTTTAAGCTACAAAAAAAGACTGAAGTTTTAAAAAAGATTTTGAGATAAAAATGTCTACTTGTCCTGGTATTTGCTTAGGCGGGATGGTATTTACACCTACTGCCTTGTTTTATATTAGAGCATGTCACAAGTGTTTAAACTTAACACCTTCTAAGCTGACTGGCCTATCACTGCTCTCTAATATAGGTCCTGACAACACCCGGCAGTCCTATAAACTCCCAACACTTCTTTATAACAAGAGTTATTCTGTTGGTCTTGGCAAATATCTCCTCTTCTTTATCCCTTCATAAAATCTGACCATCCCAGCTTACTTGCCTAGATTATTAGTCAATGAAAAGCCATACAACATTTAAGATGACTTCTTGTTTACCTTCACAAAAATTTGGACTAATTTCATCCAGCAAGGTAAAAGGCATCATCTGCTAATTGCACAGGCAAAGGAATAGCTATTTGGGGTGTATGATTAAGCTGTAGTAAATAAAAAATTATTAATATAGCTTGTCACTGTCTTCAGGTGCTGTCCTGTACTCAGAGACTTGTCAGCAAGCCCCCTCAAATGTAATCTGTTCATTAATTAGACAACGTGTGCCATGGATGCACAATTTGTATGAGCAGGTGGATTGCTGAGGACATCATCCTGTCAACACCAGCCTGTCCACCCCCTCCCAGTAATATAATTTCCCATCTCAGTCTTCCTCATTCACAATATCATCACATCCTTAAGTCCCACGCCTCTTTATCACATTCCCACAAAGGAAACGGTCTTAATCAGGTGTTACAACCTGGAACTCCCAAGGCAGCTGCTCCAAATGAGCGTCAGCAGGGAGGACCAGCCTTTGGGGACTGGTGAAGGTGCAAGCCACTGGTGCCAGCCCACAGCCCTGCGCAGAGTGTCCGTCAGCCAACAGAGGTACTGGGCTGCCCTGGTGGTAACCTTTCTTATGGCATTAAGGACTTCAGTGCCACTCACCCCATTTCAATAGTCGATCCAAGGAATGACGGAATGCAGTAATCAGCAGCTGCTTTTGTGTAGGGTGGCCGGGCAGAAGAGTCATTCCAGTAAATATCTTTCTCCATCCTTGGTAAGTTCATGTGCATCTCATCCACCGCCAGAAGCGAGACCTTAGATATTTTTTTTGTATAAATTATGTCACATTCAATATATGACAGCATACAAAATAATCTGCTTTGAACTCACAGACTCAATATTTGTTTCAAAACCCTTTAAAGTGTGCCATGTATGGTGCCCTGGGCATTGTGAAGAGACTCAGTGTTATTAAAATACATCCCAAATACCCTCCTACACCCACAAAATTCTACATTTTATTGTAAATTGAGTCTTCTGTGCTGTGAAGATATTTCTTTGTGATAGAAGTCCTTTCCTTACAAACCATGTGGTTAAATGGATTTGTAGTCCTACGTGCTATGGGCAGTCTGTGCAGGGCGTTAACCTGTACTGCTTAAAATGTGCCACAAGTTGAGGAGCTTTTTGATAGGCCTTGTCCACATTTTAACACCTGCAGAATTAAGAGTGTGACCGTCCTGATTTAGGGCCTTGTGATATATTTCATAAAAAGGGCTCTGTGTCACCCTTGCACAAGAAGCCTGAGGTAGTGTTAAGCCAGAGACCATCTCTGGCAGGTGTGAAGGCCTTTCCCACTTGCTTTGCTTGATTTGCTTCATATTCAGGTTTGCTTTTCCTGCCCTTGCTGCCCCTAAATACAGTCTCTGAAGTTCCTAGCACTGATATTATATATAAATACATACATATATTTATTTTTAAGGAAGATTAATATATATTATTATAATAATTAGACATTCAGATTAGCAGAACGTGTTTTTGTCTAGACGGGAATAAATGGCTTTTGTATTTTGCAGGATTAAACATTAATTTGTTTTTCCATGGTGTAAAATGAGCTTAAAGTTGGAGGTAGTCTGTTCGTGCATTTAGTCAGGCAGCAAGCAATGCCAAATGCCAAAATTGGGGTGCATCAGATTATGAAAATAAAACCTGGGGATTATAGCTATAGGTACACCTTCAGGGAAAGAGTTTGTTTTGATGACGCTTGTTGCCCTTAATTTGTACCTCGATGTAAGAAATGGGATTAAATGTGATGATGATCTATAATACGGTAAAGCTGGAAGTAGAAATAACAACAGCAACCTGCAAGTTTCGATCGATGCACCAATTAGTTTCAAAATCATCATCATCTTCTCCAAATGGATTAATAAGTTGTTCTGCGACCTGAAAGGGAAAGGAGACAGTGTGAATGGAGGTTGGCAGGCAATGTCAGGACTGCTGCTTCAGAGAAAATTTGATCTGATTTTTCTCTCCCTCCCTGCCTGTCACTTGCAATCATAACACGGGCTCCAGTGTGATGTTTTTGCCAGTCGAGTGAAGGAACAGCTTGCTTTCCCCATGGATGCAGCCCCTGGTGTCTCGTTCGTGCTGTCAGTCATCATTGTCAGCACTGGCCTACAGGATTGGAGAAATGTCCGGGGCACTGTGATTGTCATATAAGATATTCCTTACCTTCCCTCACTGCTGTCTTGGGCTGATTTAAATTAATGATTTAGCTGCTGAAGGCTCTGTTATTGCATTATGGTCTACGATACTTCACCAGCCCATTCAGTTAATATTTCCCAGCAATGCAGCTGAAGCCTTCTGGAAGGCATACAGCTGCCTTTTGAGCCCAGGCCTGGATGCCAGCCCCTAGCCGCTCCCTATTTTCCTAAGGTAATGCTAACTGTATCCCTCTGAGTGTTTTTGAGGAAAAGCAGTCCACAAAAATCCTCAAATATAATGAAAGCCATGTGTCACGCTAGCCAAAGCCAAGATCCTGGAGATGGCCAGGGTGCAGTGGTGAGGTCCCAGCTTCAACATGGCATTGAGCAAAGAGACTGCAGGGTTAAACAGCCTCCCTTATGCAACTTGCTATGGGCTGCTGTGATCTAAATGACTTATAATAGCAAGGCAGTCACTCTGTGGTTATTTATTCACATGTGCCTCATGATTAAAGACCTCTCAGCTGCAACATTAGCTAATCACTTGCTGACTCTCCTAGGCCAGCAGTGGAAGGTGAAGAATGAGGTGCTGAGAAGACCAACACTATGAAAACCTCACTGAAGGCAGGAGGAATGAAAAGCAGACAGGGGACGCCTCTGCTCAAACCCATTGGTGTGCCCTGGGGCACTGGATTTCAGGTACGGCCATGTAGCTGCTGGAATCGGAGTGTGCCAGAGCACAAATGGTGCTGTGGCTCTCCAGGGAAGACACTTGGCGTGAACTCAAGAATCACTGCTCCAAAACCGACTGCAAAACCTATCACATGAGCTAAAAAACACAGTGAGCATGGTCAGGACAGAGGGAACAGCAGCAATGGCCTTTTCCTGGCCACTGGCCTTTGTTGTCTGGAAAGGAATGTAACGCTAGACAGCTAAGGCCTGTATTTGGATGGCCTGTCTATTACAGTAACGAAAATGGGGATTTAGCAATGTCTCACGTGACGGGAAACTTGTCCCTCTATTGCAGGTATAACAGATCAGGCCTGAAGCCAAGGAATGAGCTCAGTTTCGCCATCATTTCTGAGGAACTGCCAAGTTACTGGAAGTCAATAGTGCTGGGCCCTTTACACAATCTGGCAGCCGAAGCCCAACGCACTCAGCAGGAAATGGGCTTTAACCTTCAGAACAGAAATATCCCGACTCTGTGGCTCTGCAGGTCTGAGGGAGCATTGCTGATTTTAAATCTGCTTTTTAAAAGGTTCTCCTCCCTTTCATTGTCTTATGCAGAAAATTTCTCAGTTATTATGGCATCCCACGCCGGCTGTTGCCTGGAGCTGGCTGGGAGCCTCAAACCTAACTGGAAAAGATGCTACTGACAGCCTTGGGTGTTGATGGAGGGGAAGGCATTGGGCAGGGGAGGCAGGAAGAAGAGCATCCAGTTTTGTAACTCACTAGTAAACCCCTGAAAGCAGTGCCTAGAGATAAAGCCTCTCATCTGCAACTTCAAAGAAAGTCCGTGATGAATACACTTTAAAAAGATAGGAATTTAAGGTCTGTAGGCATCTACCCTGCTATTAAATGTTTGCAATCCTTGCAAAACCCTTGCAACACACCAGCTTGGTATGCTGCCTTCTTTTGCCCTGCCATTGTGAGGTGGCTGTGGGATGAGGGCTCTCAAAATGGAGGTTGTAATGGGAAGAGGGCTCTAAATGGCCAGTGTTATTCCATTTATTTCGTAACAAAAGTGAGCTCAAAGTTTCCAGCTATGATTATTAATCCCAAAAGGAAACCTAATGTACAAATTTGCTTTTCATTCAAACCTTTTTTTTTTTTCCAGTTAGTCTACCTTGATACTCACTGCAGAGGAGAGAACCAGTGTGAGGTGTGTGCTTTAATTACTCATCTATCAGATTGATGACGGGATGTTAGCTGACGAGGCATCAATGGGACGATGGGTAGCATCCAAGTCCTTCCATAACTCTTTTTTAATGAATGTTTTTATGCAGTGGGATTGTAGCCAATATTAGCTGCCATGTTTGATAGCCATCTGAAACTGGAGACCTTTAATTGCCTGCATCTGATTAGTTAACAGTAGACACTAAAGGCAGGCTTTGATCCTAAGAAGCAAGTACGATTTAGTCCCGTTCAGCTCATGCCAGGTCTGCAACAACAGTATTTCCCCACTGCACAGCAGAGGGGGAGAAAACTTTTTTTTTTTCTTTATTTTATAGTCCAAGTCCCTGGGACTGGATTTTGCTGGATTAATGCTTCCTTGGGGAGCTGTCACTGCTCTATTAATAAAATGGGCTCTATCAGGTTCCCAACAATTCCTTACAGTAAGATCTGTTGAGTGGAATTAAAAATGTATTGGATGACTTTTTCTTTATGACCACAGGACACTCTGGGCTGAATCCTGCTTTGGTATAACTCCATTAATCCTTGGTGATTTTATAGTGTGCCGTGAATCTGACACCTTGACTTTGGCTCTGACACCTTCACCAGCTCACCCAGGGTGGGTTCCCCCATCACCTTCCCAGAAAACTAGTTTACCTTGAGCCATCCTGCGTAGAAGAAGAACTGTAACAGTGTGAAGATTGGAATGTAAAGATCTAAGTCATGTCCCTGATACCCTTGGTCAGTATCCAAAAATTGGCGCCCTATCAGGCAGGCAAAGAAAAAAGTATAGACTGCAAGAGTAACAACCTGCAAAGAACAAAACTTAATTGGAAACATGTCATAATACAGTCTTATGCATAAGGCATCACATATCCAAAGGCCTCTGACTGCCTTTTGTAATACTATTTACAAATCTGTAGAAAATGTTACAAATAAAGAGGCCACATGAGTAATTATAGCTAGGAAGTAGACCCAGGAAACAAAAATTTTGGTGCTTCCCCGCTCTCCAGATTATGCAAGGACTTCAAAACATCTCTACATTAAACACAACTTAAATATTTAACCAGGCGTCCATAATCCAGTGGGACTCAGGGAGTGCCCAACAGCCTGGAGCTGCCAGTTAAGTCTATGGACATTTGGCACAAATCTCCCCTTTTATGGAAACCGTGTTTCAAATTTTGTGAAAGACAACATCTCAGTACCTGGGTATAGACCAGTGGAATTCCAACCCAGTCATAGCCAAACAAAAGGCTACACCAAGACCGGTACTTATTCATCTCCTGAATGGGAAGGGAAAAAAAAAAAAAAAAAAGGAAAAAATGGAAACAAACCCCAATGAACTTAAATGGCATCAATTCTGAATGATAAACATTTCGTTACAGTTCATTTTTATACATGCAAAAGGACAGGGAGACAAGAAAGTGTAGTATAAATGGATTAAATTATTATATCCAGCAACCCATTGCCATGCTTGAATATTCACTTAATTTATGGAGTTTAAATGGTTTAAGTATGATATCTATTTCTTCACAAATTGTATTTTGTTTATATTTATCTACAATTTAGTTATATACGAAAGAGAATGTGTTCTATCATATAAGGGATGTTTGGCCACGTAATAAAATATTCAGGGAGATTATTTTTCCTGAAACTGATATTAACATTTTCAAAATGCCAAATAATTCTAAGATTTTTTTTTTCCTCCAGCAATGGACCAAGTATAAATTTACAGTGAGGCTAGAAGAAATCTTTACTCATCAAATTGTTGTTTCAGGGTAATAAATACCTCCTTAGTCATATAAATACAATCCCAGTGCACTGCTGCTGTGTGTGCCTGAGTGTACAGTGGTGCACAGAGAAAAGTGGTACAGACTTTAAGTAAGATCATTTAGATGACTGGAGAGTCGTGTGCACTAAATCAAGTTGTGTAAGTGAAAAGCTACCGCATAGCAATTTAATACTAGTTTTCTGTAGATTTACTTTTTCTACTTACATTCATTAGTGTCTGCAGATCCACACTGTCTCGAATTCTACCCTCTTTCCGTGCCTTCGATGCCAAATTTCCAAACCAGACAAAGGGAACCCAGTATTTTAGGTGGGGAGACTTGAGGTCATCAAATATTTTTCTTTCATATCTTGTCATAAAACCTGTATACAAACAACAGCAGCAACAACAAAAAAAGAGTTGATTTATTCTGTGCAGACAGTACAATTTATGTAATGTATTTTGAATATGATTATGTTCATATGATATTTCCATAGAACTATGCAAAACACTAATTATAATTCTAAATAGTAGTCTCCTTTAAAAAAAAATATTCCAGCATGACTCTTGCTTAAAAGCAACTTCTTTCTGCACTAGGTATCTGAAAAATAATCCTTCTTGATCAATATATGCAGCAATTTGCTATAGCTCTGTTTTTCTATGCGACTGCTGACATACTGTAGATGCAGATAATACTAAGGATTGTACAGATCGCTCTCTAGTTTCATATCCTACTTTTAGAAAAACAAGGAACTGGGTAACATCAGTCAATAAACTATCACTTTTCAGCAGTGATGGCTTTTAGCAAGATGTCATTATACGTTGCAAGGCAGCCCGGCGACCTTCTGATCCTGATAATTTTTTGGTAAATCTGCAATGAAGTGAGCAAGCCAGGGAGGACGCAGGCATGTGCATGAAACATAGCACAGCAGAGAGCGCGCCTTCTGCCAGTGAAATGCTCCTCTGCCAGCCTGTGTTTCATCTTTGGGGTTATGCAGGTGAGTGAGGAGAAGGAAGAGGAGCCATGCAGAGAAATCCTGCTGCTCATGGTGCACCGGGCCATGCTCTGGGGCTGCAGGCTGAAGGCGTGCTGCTCTCTGCCTGGCAGCCTGCCTGGCCCTGGCGCTGGGAAGGCGTTATGTTTCCTGCAGGGGATAGCCTGGCCTTGTGAAGTCCTGCTTCCCTCCATGGTGAGAAGCTCCAAGGGCAGCCAGGGCTGTGTTTGACAAAATCTGTGCTGCCTGGGATCAGCATGGGGGCAGCTGGCTTTTTTGAGCAACACCTCAACCCCTTTGGGCTTTGTGGGTAGGAAAGTTCAGCTCTGCTCTGCTGTCCTCCTTCCACCTGTGGCTTTGAGAAAAACAACCTCAGAAATCTAATGACAGGTAACCTCACATTTTCTTTTTTACGAATCTTAGATTTTCTAGTATAAGAGCAATCTTTAGGTTTGAGGATCTCAGTTTTTGCTCAGGTGGGTATAAGGCCTCTTTTGCTGTGTTGATATTAGAATTGAAACAGGACAAAGATAGTAACAAAGCAGCTCCAAAATAAGTGGCTCATCCATTACTACAAGTTTAACAATAGATGGAGTGCTGTAAATTCAGTTTTGGGGAACTGAGAATGGAGTGATTTTCTTCTAGTCCTTTAGCTAGTAGCTAAGAGTTGATCTGTTGATCTGCTCTTACTAACTATGGTGATGATACATGAAGGTGTGAAAAAGAAATATATACAAACTTCCACAACTTATTTTTTTTTTTTTTAATGTGAATAAGCTAAGAGCAAAAATTTGTTAACCAAGGTGACCTCTGTAAACACTCTGTTATTGACACTAATGCCACTGCTGTACAGTTGCAATAGTACAGCACAGGAGGTGCGAACACTGCACGTACTTGGAAGGAGCACAAGGATGGTACACATTGCTGTTGGGCTAGAAGAAAAGCAGGTCAGCAGCAAGATATGGTATTCCTGCAGAATCCTGGAACTTAAGAACAGAGTAATATACAACTTTTAAAAGGTGCCTGTGTGGTTTGCAGCCAGCTCTCATAATAAGTTGCACAGAAATAATTGGGTGACTGATTATTGACCTGCTAGCCACAAATCCTCCTGACTCCTGAAAGTCAGTCTTTAAGGCTGCTTTTGATTTTTGGCTAGACATATTTCTTATTATAGGGCAGGAAAAGGTGTTTCTCTCATGCTGAAACAGAAGGAATATAAAAACAAATGACAGTCTGGAGTATGCAATTCCCTGGAGAGGTTCTGGGAAGTCATTATCGAGAAGGGCACAGCCTGAGGGGTTCATGAAGAAAAGCAAAGCTCCAAGAATCAGGGGAGCTCTGCACTTAAACTGGGTACCTTTTTGTTGAGAAAAAAATAAACATCACTGTTCTTTTCAAAGTAACATTCAAGTTGCCATTATTTCTAATATTAAGGCATTCATGTTTATATTAATTAAATATTGTCTTTGATGGACATTAATAACACCTAGAATAGTTATCACAGAAAAATATTTCCTGCTGGCAAATGTTACAGCAACACAAGCAATACACAGTACAGAATTGCTTGTTGTAATTGCAGGGGTAAGAAAGCACCTTATATGCCATGAATTACAGGAGAGGATATTAAACCTCTATTATTAAACTTAAACAGCTTCTAAATATGTTCATCTTATTTTTATCTAAGAGAATTTAAAGAATTAACTGACAAACTCTCTGAACAAGAACATTGGAACTGGAAGACTGGAGCAGTTCCAGAAAATTGAAAATATTTGGCAAATACTCTGCCAAGATCTTGAAAAGGGTGATCTGAGGAATGATAGGGCACTGAATACTTGCAAAAATGTGAAAAACTTGACACGGGATACAATCAATAAAGCACAAAAAGACAATAATGTGAAGAGTATTAGCCAAAGTGATCTTATAGATAAAGTATTAACGAGAACACAAGTCTGGCTGGAAAAAGTCAGTAGTGCTCTCCCTGAAATGATTCACGGGGTATTCAGGGCTCCCATCAAAATGGGATGGATTGAGGCAAGACTGATTCAGGGTGCCCATGTCAAATACTGTAATGTCTAGGGGTTAGAAGAAGGAACTGATCAGTGGGCATCTCCCACATCTCCACAGTGTGCTAACAACAATCAATATATGTTTCTCTATTCTCATCTGAGAAAGGATTAGTTAGGTACTTCATCCCAGTGGTGGGTCTGGGATTGTGCACTTCAGTCAACAGCAGGTAGCCATGTCACTGGGTTCAAACCTCACGTTTCTCTTCAGCACCTCCTGTTTGGTTTGGGTGGCTCGCTGCCTAGCAGTTGACTCATGTTTTTCAGGATTCACGCTCTTGAGCATCCACCTTTCCTCTCACAACTTGAAACAAACAGGGTTTGAAAGTTAAGGACTGCCAGGCATTTGATCCTTATGGCGTACGTGCTGCAGTACTCAGCATCGTGATGTCATGAGTCTGTGTGAAATGCCTGCCTACAGTTCCATAAAGAATGGTAAAAATGAAATTAAAAGCTTAGAAAATAGTTATGAGGAAGGTCCGGAGCTGAAAACCATACCTTGCAGGAAGAGACTAAGGAAGATGAAGCTCATATTTTTTTTCAAGCTTCTATGCCCTCCACTAATAGGTAGTTATTGAGAGAAAATGGTATTTTCACCTAACTAAAAAAAAAGAAAGAACAACCAAAACCATTTAAAAATCCAGTGAACAGAAAATGACTGCATGCAAGTTCAGGCTCTGAATGAAATTCCACTTTTCAACAGTGAGTTCAGTGTTGTGAATGCCAGCTCTGCGGCGTATTCTCCATTGTAGTCAGCTGAATTTTAAATCAGAGCTGCTTAGATTCCTAGAAGGTATTACAGTTCGGTCAGAAATTGCAGCTTGATAAAGGAGGTTGTGAGTAAGCTTTTCTGCCGTGTGTTGTGGATGAGTCAGACTAGATTATCATTGTCCTGCTCTCAGATTTAAAATCTACGAATTTAAGCAGTGCATTTATTGAAAAGGGAGATGTGTAGCAGTAGTTACATTATGGCAGTTCTCAGTTTGAGAGCAAAATGCAAAATCGGCACAAGTTGTTTCAGTGATGCCTGCTCTGTAAGTATCAGATTCTGCCACTCACGTTCATATTAAATGTTGCCCTCCCATGCAGCCTGTTATATAATGCCGCAGGGAATTAGGGAGGGGATAATTGCAGAGTGCTGTCTTAATCACTGGATGCTCGTAGTAGCAAAATATACCCTCAAGTGCTCAATACTGCATCAACAAAAATTCTGTGGCACAATGTGCATAAGGACCTACACAATCTGTACTGAAATCCATGGAGCTGCCTGCCAATTCTTAGTTGTGTAGTGTATAGTAGAATGTTTTCCACTGTGCAGAAAAAAAAAATAAATAAAAAAATCTTGTTTTCCAGTCTACAATTTTTGTACAATGCTGCGACATTTTGTCTCTTTTGGAACAGATTGTCTTTAGCAATAGGGAGGCAGAGCTGGATTAGCCTGCTGGAAATGTGGTAATTTTCCAGTACATGCTAGAAGCAGATTGCTTGGAGAGAGCGACAGAAGCTTCCTTGACCTCTCACAGGCTCAGGTAAACAATATTTTTGAAAAGCACATGGAAGAGAACTACAAAATTCAACTGAATTTTGGAAAAAGAGTGACAACACAAATGATTTTTTTTTTTTTTCTAAGATCAGTGCATTCTGCATGGATTTTTTTTTCAACATCCAAAGCTTCTTACACAT